TCAAAATGTCAGACTCGTCTGGTTTCACCTATTTTTAAATTAAAATGTAACTTTTAAAAATCATATTCATATGAAAACTATTTTCATATTTTCCTATATTTTTCTAAACCAAAATTAAAACGGTCGACATGTAAGTTCAACAGAATGAAATAACTAAGAGAGAAAAACCATCTCCTTGAGGTATCTCGCTCAATTATGATTTCCCGTGAATTTTCAAAATATTTTTTGAGAGAACCAGCTCTTACTGTAACAAGTCTTATCAATCGAATGTCTAGTAGGATAATTAAATTAAAAACACTGCTTCGTGTTTTGATCATTACTTATCCTCATATCAGTGCTTTTTCTTCTACTATACCATTTAAAATCTTCAAGTGTGTATCTTTTGTTCGCATTTATTCTCAAAATCGCATAAAACATGACCCTAAATCTATCAAAGGGTATTTTTCTTGAGTATACCTCTAATAGAAAGGTACATAAGAGTTACTCTCATATTACAACAAAATACTATAACTCCATGGATTTCACTTTTTTAAAAAAAATCAATTCTACTACCCCAAATCTAATATTCAGGGAGAGAGAGAGTGTGTGCAAATGAACATCAATTTTTGTGATGCACTTAATGATAACTCCACGCCCTCATCACCTACTTCACCTAGCCCTCCTATTTCAGTTGAGGATGTCCAACCAATCCAACCAACCAAACATGAAGTTCATAACAAAGAATTTCGCGTGTACAGAAGGAAGAAAAACCTTGAGCAAATGGAAGATAAGTTGCAAGGACATAACTGTTCAAACCAAAATCCGAGTTTGCATTCACTTAAAATTTTGTGTCAGAAGTCTAGTAATCATGAGTTATCTCATTCCTCTTCTGATGTTGGTGACAAGGAAAGCTGCATTAAATAACCAACTCAGAAGTATATAGCTTATGGGAAGCTATCCTCATTCTACAAAGCTTTTGTTTCTAACATTGATAGTGTGTAGATTCCAAAATTCATTCACAAAACTCTTGAAAATCCAGAATAGAGCAAAGTAATTGAAGTAGAGGAGATTCAAGCACTGATGCATAATGGCGCATGGATTTTTACTTAGATTTTTCAAGATAAGAAGCCAGTTGGATGCACATGGGTATTTAATATTAAATACAAAGTTGATGGGGGTATTGAGAGAATCAAATTCATACTTATTGCAAAAGATTTCACTTAAGTCTATGGGATTGACTGTCATGAGACATTCACACCAGTTGTCAAACTAAACACTATTAGAGTTATTCTTTCAGTAGCAATTAACAAAAAATGAGGATTGCATCAGCTTGATATAAAAAATATCTTCCCGAATGAAGATCTGAAAGAAGAAATGTAAATGGAGATACCACCATGACTCAACAATGATTTCAGCAAACACCTAGTATCAAGCTCAGGAAGTCTTTGTATAAGTTTAAGCAATCATAAAGAGTGGTTTGAAAGGTTTGTTAAAACAAGGAGATATAGAGCCCGTTTGGGGCAGTTTTTTTGGCGCGGCACATTTTGAAAATGCCCGCAGCAGCGTTTGGATATTGTGTTTAGTATGTGTTTTGGAAAAACCGACTACAATACATAATAAACGCAGGTTGCGGGTTTGATCCCACGACCCGCATTTCGTCTTTCATTTTTCTTCGGCTTTTACTACCCTACTGCGGGCTCTCCTCGTGTCCCGCTCTCCCCTCTCTCGCGAGCTCTTGTCACTCGTGTCCCGCTCTCCCCTTCTAGCGATTCTGCCGTAAAGTTAACATCGGCTCTCCTCCTCTCCAATCCGTGGCTCCGGTGGCAAGAGTTTGCCTTACTTCTCCTCTCCCTATCCCCTTGTGATTCTGCCCTTAAAGAATACCAAGAACCTTTTTTTATAATGTATGTTATCTTCTTGTAGTGACAGATTCATTGGTTCATATATTGAGTCCTTTGAGACCCCACACCTACATAAACTCTAATTAATTACTTTTTTAATAAGTTTCTACTTATGTTATATCAAATGGGATGTCTTTTAAAGCATTCAAAAAAGATTAGTTTGATGATTTCCGGTACCTACCAAGGACAGCATTGTCGCTACGGGAGAAAGTTCTACAGATGCTCACGGAAAATCATAGAGAACTGTAGTTTTTTTTTTTTTTGTGGGCAAATAGGCTCGAAGATTCTACCACCGAGAGTGATCGGACATGGAGAGTATCCCTGGAGCACGACTTAGCACTTGACATACACCATTTGCATTTTAAGAATAATATTGTTATATTATTATATGTTGTTTTAATAGTCTTTTTCTTAAATTTAGTAATCATGATACTCATTGTTAAGTGATATGTAAATTTTATTTTTTGTACTCTTTTGTACTGGATTTTTTGTTCCTAAAGTATAAAATATATTGGCGACACAGTTCTATTGCAAAGAACATTATTATACAGAAGTGGAATAGTTGTCCAGAATCAGATGCAATACAGCTGTTTTCAAACTGTAAAAACAAACAGACAATCAGTTTCCTATGGCAGTTGTTGTGCAACAGCTTATTATTAAGTTGTAGCTGCCCCAAACATACCCATAATTGATATTCTTACGGTCAAGTTGATCATACTCTTTTCATAAAACACACTCAGGGAGATTAGATGACTGCACTGATATTATATGTGAATGATAATTCTTATTGATGATGATGAAAGGAAGATTCTCAGAATATCAAAGAACTGTTTTCCAATGAGTATGAAATCAAAAACCTAGGAACCATAAAATATTTTCAAAGTATGGAGGTAGCAAGCTCCAAAAAAGACACTATTATATCACAAATAAAAAAACATCCCTGATCTATTAAAGAAGACATGGATGATTGGAAGCCTTATGATACTCCAATGGATCCTAGCAAGAGTCTAATAGGGAAGACGAAAGTATATTTGTGGATAAAGTATCAAATACTGGTATTAATACTCATCTACTTGTCACATACGAGCTAAATATTGCATACTCTATTAGCATTGTGAGTCAACGCATGAATAACCCAAATGAAGAGAATTTGGAGATGGGGTACAACATTCTAAAGTTTCTCAAGAAAACTCCTAGTTATGAATAAATTTTTTTGAAAACCTGAAATAGGAGGCAGAAGTTTACATTAATGTAAGTTCGGTTAGGGAACTCACTGACTGAAGGTCCACCACAGGTTATTGCTCTTATGTATAGGAAATTCTGATGACAGAGAAGTAAGAAGCAAGTTATTTTTTTCTAGAAGCAGTGTTGAATCAAAGTATAAGGCACTCGTCTAAGGAATCTATGAAAGTATCAAAAATTCAAAAAATTATTAAAGGAATTAGGGAGCACCTCCAATAGGCCTATCTAAATGTTTTGTGACAGTCAAGCAGCCATCGGTATTGTCAAAAATCTGGTGCATTATGACAAGATAAAGCATATTGAAATTGATAGGCACTTTATCTCTGAAAATGTTAATGTTAGAATTATACAACTAAGCTACATCCCGACATGCTAACAAATTATTGATGTCTTCACCAAATCACTTTCTTTAAGCACCTTCTCAGATTTTGATACCAAGTAGTCTCTACACCATCTACGACCTAGCTTGAAGGGGAATATCAAGAGCTGAAAAGTTTGCTCCTATCCATGTTGGGTCGATCAGCTACTTCACAAGATCATGGAAAGATTTGATTGGAATATCTTTAGAAACACTTTTTCTAGTTTTATTCACTTCCCATTTTATGTTTCTTTTTATTATTTCCAAATTATTTCCTTTCCTAATTTAGACTAGATACATGTGACAAGTTTGTAAATTATGAGGAATTGATTCCTCTCTCTGTCTCTATCTATGTGTGTGTGTGTGTGTGTGTGTAAGTGTGTGTGCGCGCCCTACAAGTGAATAATTGAACGAAATAATTATTCCTCCCCATACCTGTTTTCAACAATTATCATACCAACAAATATTTTCTAACATTACCAAAAATTTCTCTGATACGTATTAACACCTTAGTAGTTGTGCTGCATTAAAAATATTCACAAAATACGAAAATGAAAGAGACGGTGTTTCTCTCTCATTGTCTTTCTCCCTCACCTTTTCCTTCTCAATTCATTCCTCAAAAATATCCAACCGTTATTTTTATTCCTCTGGCAAAAGAGAGATTTCAAAACAATTCCTATTATAAAACTTGAAATCATGATTCACAACAAAAAAGGCTCAAATTTATTTGAATCTAAAAATCGCAAAAAACAAACTTGTAATGAGGCTCTAATCGTCTAGATACCTATCTTGCAGAAAAGAATTAGGCTCCACAGTCGGCAACTGTTTTATATAATAATGTGCTTAAGCAGGAAGTTTTTGGCATTCATCTAAAGGTATTAGTCTATAATCTGCTGAAATTAAATAAAAAATTTGATGGCATTCATCCGAAAGAGTGGCAACAACGAATATAATTCTAATTAAGATTTAGTTTTTCATTAAAATTTGTGGCCGGATATACTTAAGGGGCATTTACCTACATACCACAACATTCTTACCTATTTAAATATGTAATAACAATTAAACATTCATATTTTCATGCATACCACTCAAAACTTTAGCATCACATCAAAAATATCACTATCAATATCTTTTTAAAAATGAAATACACCTTTTCATGTATAGGCTTATGACACCAAGACGTTATTAGTGTAAATATCAAATTTAGGTCATAGATATGTAAATACATAAGAATATTGAGGTATGTATGTAAATTTATATATACTTAATTATCAAACTACAATTAAACATCGTAACAATCCTCAAGTATCTATTAATATTAAATGCAATAGTGAAAATTTATTGATATAAGTGAACAATTATTTTAATATGTTCGCAAGAAAAATGAGCACCTTCAAATATATTTCATTTGACAACAGAAGATTGTTGTTAAACCTTTTGAAAAGCATGAACGCAAAAGCTAAGTTGTAATTGTGTAACCAAAGAATATATAGGAACTTAGCAATGCCCAAAGAGTGTACCTTATCGTCCGCACAAAAGCATAGCAGGATCCTTTCAATTTATATTATAACTAAATGGAGGCAGGGCCCATTGACTTGGATTGAAATCCAACAGAGAAGAAAGAACCTGGTCCGCCTCTTTATGATGTGAAGCATCCAACCGTGGATCCGGAACCATTACTACAGACCTGGTTTTTTAAAACAGATGAATATTCTTATTGAAAAAGAAATCTCAAGGTTGAATAGCTTTAAATTGAATAAATAATTTATTAAATAAAGGTTAGTTTCCTCTACTTAATTAACATAATTAAAATTATTAATAGATTTCCATGTTTAATTAAGGCTTCAAATTAGAGGAGTCTAGCTCTAAGACAAATCAAAAAACAAATCAATAGATAACAAGATGAGTATTCATACTTTTAATATATAGTAATATTTAGCTTCTTCTAAATCTGATAAGTCCCGCTATTCGTTCAAATAGATTTTATATTGCAAGATTAAAAATAATTTATCTCCTCTTTAAGTTCAATTGATCATATTGATTTGTATGCAACCGATCTTTGTATGTCCGTCTATCCTATAATTCAAAGTATTATATTATATATTGAATGTTATGAAAAATAAGAATGAGATTGATTGTTGATTGCTTGCATGTGCATGGTAACTATGATGAACCCCCTTATGGTCCTAGTTGATGGCATTAAAGTATCAATGTACGTAATTTGAAAAAATATATTGATATTGAAGTACCTTGAGTGATATCATTAGATGGTGTTCCAGAAGACCAGATTGTAAATAATAGATATAGATATAGAAATTGCAACGAACAACTCAGTGTTTTAAACACTATTGAATAGTCATAATTGAATAATATAATGTTGATTGCTTCTTTTAGATTGATTAGAAACATTTAATTATGACACGTCCTTTAACAAGTTAATTTTCCTCCTGCATTTTATACTTATTTTTAACGATATTGCACTTTAATGGAAAGTATTTTTATGTTTTTTGTTACATGTATAATATGTAAAACAATTGGAGCAAACTGAAAACGGGGCGAAAAGGAGGCAATTGGAGCAGTGAAGCTTGGACTTGAATTGGCGCCTAAGCGCCGGCTTCTGACGCCCAAGCGCCGGCTTCTGACGCCCACGCACCGCTCGATAGCGCCATGGCGTTAAATACAGGCGCCAATCCTCGGTGAATTGACAGGGAAAGTGGCGCCTAGGCGCCACATATTGGTGTTTAGAAGCCAGTTCAAATTGCCAGCCGACAAAGGAAGTGGCGCCTAGGCTCCAGAACTCTCTTGACGGTTTTCCAACAGTTTTTCACACGAAAAGGAGGGTTTTTCTTCAAGGAATCAGTGAAGAGACGAGAAGAAGACATTAGAGCAGACTAGAGAGAAGAAAGTTGAAGAGAAGAAGAGAAAAAAAGTGAGCGTTTCTTTTCTTTTCTTTTTCTATATTTTATGTGAGATATTTGTGAGAGGTGTAAGGAAGTGTTATAAGATTGCAAGAAAAACACTATTAAGTGGAGATTTCTTCATTACTCAGGGAAAAGGATAAGTTTTTTGTATTTTCATTGTCTTGTATTTGAAGTAATTTATGTACTTGACTTTGTTTTAATATAAGATGTTCTGCTTTGTGGTTTTTTCCATGAAATCTGAATAGTTTACTTGTTTCCTTCCTTTTGTGATGAAATAGCAGCATGTGTACGGACTAAATTTAATTGGAATCATGTTAATTTATTAATTGTGATAATGGTTTTCATTAGAACTTCATTTACGTTGCAATTTGGTCAGTTGTAGTGTTAAAATTCATTGTGAACCCATAAAATCCAGAAGGGCAATGGCTTCAAACAATTAGTTAAAATCATACTAATCTTTAGGGTGAAGGAAAAGTAATCCTTAGGTTAGTGCAAATAGATAGAAAGATGATTTTAACGGAGATAACTAGAAGGTTTCTAGAGTGATAGGCAAAAACAATTCCTATGTTAACCTAGTTTCTTTATACACTTGGAAAAGGGTAAATAAAATATATGCTCCTATTTGTCACAGATTTATTTAGAAATTCTAGTTGATTTACACCTACACTAGCTACTAGTTTCATTACAAGGGGAGGGAACCACTAATTAGCTTGAACTTTCTGCTTAATTTAGCCTAGTGTATTTAATTGTAGAACAGTAGAAATAGTTTAGTTGAATTCCTTAGTCTACATCAAAAATCAAACCTATTTCCTAGCTAAGACTCCTTAAATTCTAGTAGAGCTTTTCTCAAGTTTGTATAATTTACTGTCTTCCCTGTGTGATCGATGTTGGGGTTTAAAGAAAATCCTATATTACTTGAACAATACATGCACTTACGTTAATACCTAGTGAATAATATTTGACTGTGATAAATATTATAAAATATATTTTAAAAATTATAATAAAAAATTCATAAATCACTATCTGATGATTTGGTCACATTGAGCGTCGACCATCTGATGATTTAATTAGGAGAATAGATGTTAAGATTCAACTTATGTTAAGAAAGGCAAAGGTAGACCTAGGAAGACTTGGGCTTTTTGTATAAAAAATGATCTTAATTTTTTGTATAAGTATAAAAAATGATCTTAATTTATTAGAACTAAATGAAAATATAACACTAAATAGGATGCAATGGAGAAAAATGATTCATGTAGCCGACCCCACAGTGGGATTAAGGCATTGTTGTTGTTGTTGTTGTTGCTACTGCTGCTCAAAAATGTAGAATAGTTAGGAATCTCGTTTATGCAATTGATCAGGCCTTTGAATTTATTAATTTAGTCACTAAAGCAACTTAAACTAACATCTTTTAATTAAAATTAGGATAAAAAATTTGACTAACTCAAATAATACATACTATTCCAGCGCCCTTTCAATAAAAATAAATCCACAACAGCAAAGGAATTAGCATATCAGATGCCTTTATTTTCATTTTTTTTAAAATACCCCAATTTCCATGACGAAGTTTTGCAAACTGTTTTTCAATGCCACATTGTTAGGGATTAAATTTACAGGTAAATTTACAACCTCTAAAACAAAACAATTAAGCAAATAACATAATTTATAATAAGGGAATTCATACACATACCACACAATTCTTATATATCTACATATCTAATACCTAAACTTTGATATTTACATATTTACTTTGTGTCGTATGAATGAAAAGGTGGATTTCACATTAAAAAAATTAAAATTAGGGTATTTTTTATGTGATTTAAAGTTTTAGATGTTATATAAATAAATATTAAAGTTCAGGTGCTAGATTTGTAAATATATAAGAATTGTTTGTTATGTAAATCTCTCTTTTTAATATTATATAAATCTATTGTAGCATTATTAACAAAATGAATATATTAGTATCAGTAGTCATACAATTCAAATGGCAAAACGGCATAAAATATTGATTCAAAAGGGTCATTTATATATTTACTTACATTCCTGCATTCTTAGCAGCAGCAACTCCAGCAGGTGCGTCTTCGAACACCAAAACCTTAGTTGGATCCACATTACTCTGAAAAAAGAAAAAAAGAAACCAGGTTTTGATACAGTGAAATAAAAATTTCTTAAAGAATACCAAAAAAATTAATACCAGCACAAAAAAATAAATTGACTTTTATAAATAAATTTGCTTGAAATTGCCAACTTATAAGCCTATGGTCTACAGCATAAAGATGCTAGTCTTACACAATTTTGGGACAGAACTACTTAGAGCTTAGGTACACACATGTAAAGAAAACAATGCACATAATAATGGGGCAAAGGAGATGTACAATACCTCAAATCTGTTCGCAGCAACAAGAAAAATATCAGGAGATGGTTTGCCTTGCTTCACATCTGGATCATCGCCCATAACAACATGATGCATCATAGAAAAAATTTCACCATGCCATTGTGTTTTGAGGTCAAAATGCCGTTTGTACGACCTGTTTGGAATTAGAAAGGTGTTGCAATAAAGTTTCATTACAATTAGAAGTTTCTGATAAGCATGTACAGGAATCTTGGACGGTTATGATTAATGTGGCACAATCTTCTGAGGATTCAACCCAATCAAATTCACTAAGATTGAGCTTACTTCTGTATTCTCTTGTGGCATACCACCATAGAAATATGTCTGGTTTTACCCGCACATTTTTTATTCTACAATTTATGTCCTCATCTATATATGTATTCTTTGAACAAGTAGTTAGAGATGCACAAACTTATTGCGCACATAAATAGCACTTAGTCATCACGTTGCCTATAAACAATAGCAATTATTCATTCAATAAAATTGAATGTGTTCAATATTTGTTCTTCTAATCTTGCGCCACTTATCTCCTAAAAATTCTCCATTCTAGCTTTGAGTTCAAAATGCATCTTTGTTATCAAAATTATAATTTGCAAATAGCATAAATCAAGATATCTCACTTAAGAATATACGTTTTAAGCATCTTCATATTCAATATAAAACAGATAAACTCAGCAGTGATATCTGAAGTAAATCCATCTACAACAAAAACTCCATGGCTATGTTTAGAGCTCTCGCTCTATCAAATATATTTGGTATAACTTAAATAATCTTTAGCATTTTTTTCTTCTTGGTGCCCAGAAAATCCATTCTCCCTAACTCGACCATGATCACTTCAAGAACAAAAATAAAGTCATATTAAGTTTCTTAGTCAATCTTCATGCTTTTCCACTAATCACCTAAGCATAAAAATTGTCTTCAGCGTGGATCGTTCTAATCTAAAATCCAATTGATTCTCTTGTATAAAAGTGATTTTTCAAAGTCTAAATTTTAACCATTCTCATTAAGAACTCTGTTATACGACTCTTAAATTTGATTATCTATAATTACCAAAGTCTAAAATATCTATGTTGACAGTACAATCATTTTTTAGTTATATATATATATATATATATGCAAAGGCGGCTATTATATATATATATATATATATATATATTGGAAGTCTGAAGGCATCTACATTAATATAAAGAAAAGTACAGCGAATTTAGTGAGTGGGTACAATAGGTCCACTCACAAAGTATACAACTCACTCAACAAGGATATGAAAATATACAAGTATATCCCAAAAAATTAATAAGACTAGAAAAGCTCCAAAAAAACATAGAATAAGCCGTGAAATAACACCCCCGATGCGCCCCAATACAGCCAAGTAAACTTCTGACGATTAATAATCCCGCAAATAACACCCGCGGCAATCCAGATACTATGAGGAGTAAAAACACGGTGAATAACATCAGCAAAACACGTTGAATAACCAGTAGAATAACACCCGCGGTTCCCCAAAACATACAAATGTACTCCCAAGAAGAGAACTACCATGATACCACGATGAATAACCCCGCAAATAACACCTACAGTAGTGCGATAACATCAGGATACTCCCAAGAAGGAAAACCATGGCGATAACACAAGAATAACCCTGCAAATAACTCCCGCGGTATGACCTGAAGAACCTGAGTGTGGCGTCCAACCTCAATAACCCCAATAATAACATGCATAATAACACCAAAAAGAAACCCACGTGAAAGCACAATACACCCAACATGAAGGACTTCTATCTTTTAAGGATGTCAAAAAAGCTCGTTGTTCACAAACAGCTCGTGTTCTACTCGTTAATTAGCTTGTGTTCGGCTCGTTCGTTAAGTAAACGAGCTGAACACGAACAAGTTTTTAAAGATCGAATTATAAATGAGTCGAACACGAACAACTCTTTGTGCGCTCGTGTTCGGCTTGTTTTAGCTTGAAATAAAAAATATATATATATAATTATTTATATAATAATATATTACACATATTATTTATATAATAATATATTATATATATTTATATCTAACTTTAAATCATAATTATTTTTGTGTTAATGTAGTTATGCATCTTGTTTTGCATACATTTAGTCCAGGTTCGAATCCAGCAGTCCACATCTATTTTTTCATTTTAATTTTAACAAGTCAATTTCGAGCCGAACACACGTCTGTTTCGAACACGAGCCGATTTTGAACACGAGCAATTTCGAACGAGCCGAACACGAGCCTAGCCTGAGCTCGCTAAAGCTCGGCTCATTTACAGCCCTACTAGGGATCACCCCAGCTACCGACCTGGCTTTGGTTTACATCAGATATGAGAAAGGTTCAAAGACTCCACATGCGGCAAAAGGCTCAAGGCAATACCTAGAGATGTGGCACAAACAATCAACTCCTTTCGACTACCCTCCTTAGCAAGCCAGTTGGCCGGTTTGTTGCCTTTTTATGGAATATGACTCCAAATGACTGAGATAGAATTAGAAATATGTTTAATTTTCCTTACCCAGATGGCAAGGTGCCATGGGATGCTGACCTTCTCCTGTAGAATATGTACCAAAAGTTGAAAGTCCAACTCCATGTGGATGTATTTGAAATGCTGAAGTATGGCAATTTTTAAACCCCAGTAAGCAGCAACAGCCTCAGTATGAAGAGCATCAATGGTGAAGACGGGCCATGAAGAACCATAAACAGTAACCTCTATGGTCTCAACACACTCCAATGCCAGCAGCAGGAGTAAAGCTATCATCTGTATTAATTTTAATCCAAGGAGAAAGTGGCTTTCTCCAAATAATCAATTGAATTGCTTGATTGCTAGGAGAAGGAGCTTGTAAGGAAGGGAGGAAAGATCTTTGCACCCTTTGTATATATGCAATGCAGCTATTAGCAAACGTTTGGGAAGTTGGTAATGTGTCGTCATGAATAGTACTATTCCTGGCCATCCAAAGAAACCAAGCAATGACAAGTGGTATATACTGGTCTGTATGAGTTTCCCAATCCTTCCAGTACTGCTCAAAAGTACTCCAGATGAAACATCGTGGCTCTGTTTCAGAAATTGTAAAACCTTGGTCCATACCACTTTGGCCATAGAACAGGCTACAATCAGGTGATCAATAGACTCCTCCTCTTTATGGCACAGAAGGCATCTGGAAGAACCTCTAATCCCTTTTAATTTAAGGATATCAACTGCGGGAAGGAATTTTCTGAACATTCTCCAGCAGAAGAATAACATAGAAGGAGTCAGTGCTTTATGCTATATTTGCTTGCCCCAACTTGTTGTAGGCCAAGTGAAGGACTGGCAAATCAGTTGTTGAGTGACTGAGATTTAGAGTTCTTAGTGATCAGTTTATCTTTTGTATTTGGGGCAATGGGGATTGCAATGATCTTTTTCAAAGTAGCAGGATTAACAAAGGTATTGAGTTTAGGAACATCCCACTGCTGATCCTGCCAACATTCGGAGACTGAGGAGATTGCTAAAGATATAGGATTTTGTTGGTCCTCAAGAGTACCATCAATAAGACAATTATCCAGCCAAAAGTGTGTTTAGTCTTCTCCAAATTTCCAGATAAAAAAAGTTTCAGCCTGAGTTCTTACTTTTAACATACTCTTCCAATTCTTTAAATCACCAAGTTTAGCAGAAGTCTTTGTAGGGTGAATATCTCTACAACATTTCCCATGCATGAATTGAGCCCACAAAGAGTTAATCTGCCTGAATTTGATCCATTGCTTACAGTAGAGGACAAAACTCTATGCTGGAAATTTTTGAACCCCAGGCCTCCAGTGTCCACAGGTCTGCAAAGTTTGTCCCAATTTGCCCAATGCATCTACTTGTGCTGCCCTTCCCACAGGAAAATGATCTCAAGCATCTTTTGAGTGCTCCCATTTAATCTGATCATTTGGAGAAGATAAAGGGGGAATGAGGTAAGAATATTCTTGAGGAAGGTAATTCTACCTCCATTTGATAAAAAGGAGCTAGTCCGGCAATGAATCTGAGAAGTCACCTTCTACACCACTTCATCATAATGTATATGTTTTCTCTACATTTGATAAGAGGGATGCCCAGATATTTAATAGGAGAGTCAGCATGTTTAAAACCGGTGTAGTCTTTGATCCAGTTCTTGAATTGGTTGCTCATTTTGTTGCTAGTGATAAATTGGCATTTGACTTTAGTGAAGGTCATACCAGAAACATTCTAAAAATTGCTAAGTATATTCATCACATGTTTTTGGGCCTGTTTGCTGCCATTGAAAAATAACATGAAATCATCTGCATAAGCCAGGTGACTGATTAAACAAATGGATTTGTGTTGATATCTGAGATGAGGGGTGGTTTGGTGAGCATTGTTGAGCAGTCTTGAGAAGTAGTCAAATGCCAAAATGAATATAGTGGGAGAAAGAGAATCTCCTTGTTTAATACCTCTAACAGCTTGGAAGAAACCACAACATTCACCATTGATTAAAACACTGTAATTATTAAACATAAACCATCGCTGAATCAAGTCACAAAAGCCTTGTTGCAAGCTCTGGCAGTCAAAACCTCCAAAATGAAGTTCTAGCTAATGGTGTCATAGTCTTTGTTAAGATCTAGCTTTAAGATGATGTTAGAACCCGACAAGGCTTATCAATATCCAACAAAAAATCTTGTGCAAGTAAGACATTATCATTAATTGACCTACCTTGGACAAAGGCAGATTGATTAACAGCTATAAGATCCCCCAAATATGGTTGTAGCATTGCTACCAGGATTTGCTAATAATCTTGGAAAGTGTGTTGGTGAGGCTAAGAGGTCAGAAATCATTCCAGCAGCTCTTTTTCTTATATTTAGGAATAAGCACAATGGTGGTGGCAGAAAAATATTTAGGCAGATTAACACCCATGAAAAAACTCTGTAAAACCAACACAACATCAGCTTTCACAATATCCCAAGCTTTAACATAAAAGGAAGAAGTAAATCCATCTAGGCCAGCAGTTTTATTGTCATCAAGAGTGTCTAAGGCTGCTTTGATTTCCAATTCATCAGGAATGGAGGTGAGGTTTAACTGGGATAGGCTGTCACTGTTATATTCCAACAGTAACTGATTAATAGAGTGAACAGTAGCGGTGGAGGCCAGTAAATTTTGGAAGAAGTTCACAGCACTGTCTGCAATAAGTTTTGGATCAGTCAACCAGTCACCCTATTCAATTTGGATTTTTAAAATAGCATTAAGCTTCCTTCTATATTTAATAACAACATGATAATATTTGGAATTTCTGTCACCATGCAAGGACCAGTTGGCAACAGCTTTCTGTTGGAGGAATTGTTCCTCAAAGTTTATTGCAGTAATGAGTTTAGAATTAGCATCTAAGAGTTCACCCTCATAGTCATTACCCTCTTGGATCAGCAGCTCCAAGGAAGAGACCTCCTGTTCAGCTAGGGATACCTTATGGTGTAAATTGCCAAATACAATCCAGTTTCAATCTTTAAGAAGTTTAGCGAGCCTCCTTTGTATTAAACACAGTTTTTGGAGAGGATTACCTTGAAATTGATGAAGAAGAGTTTTCCAAGCATTTTGAACAACCATCAGGAAATCAGTGTGTTCATCCCAGACATTTAGGTACCTAAAAGGTTATTTTTTAGCTAGTGCAAGGATGGAGAAATTAAGCAGAAGAGGAGAATGATCTGATCCTGCCATAGGCAAATGTTTAGCAGCTGAGTAAGTAAATAAATCCAACCAATGTTGGTTTGCTAGCATTCTTTCCAATCTCTCCAAAAGGTTCCCCCTTCTCCAAGTAAATGGAGAGCCCTCATATCCCAAATCAAAAAGTTTGGCAGCTTGAATATTGTCAGTGAAGGTAAGCATGCTGTTGAGATTGGGGCTCCTGCCCCCCTTCTTTTCAATTGGATTGGCAATGCAATTGAAATCCCCACCAGCAAGCCAGCAACCACTCATATGTTTACTGATGCTATGGATATTTTGCCATAGATCTCTTCTATCTTCCTGTTGGCAGCTAGCATAGATAAAAGTGGCATATCCATGAATCTGCTCCAAATCAAATTGCATATGAAGAAATTGAGAATGGTCAATCAGAATAGTGGGATGCATTTCTTTTCTACAGAATATCCATATTTTATGTGCAATTGGCAAAAAAATTATAGCAAGAGAACTTTTAGTAGTTCTCTGTAAATTAGTCTGAACCATAGGTTCTAGAAGAGTAATTGCCCCAAACTTATTCAACCTTTTAAGATTAACAAGTATATTAAGGGAACCAGGGTTAGCAACTCCCCTAATATTCCAACATAGGATGTTAATCATGATGTTGAGCTTTCCCAGTTCTAGTAAGCCTAGAGAGGGATGTAGCCTACTGATTTAAAGGTGAACCCCCTGTGACAATAATATTATCTTCTGGTAGATGCCTGAGCTCAAGTGGCCCTTTTCTTTTCCTTCTGCCTTTTTGAGCGGGTCACTCCTCATCCAGTTCCTGTCCCACTTCTTTTCATGCCTTATGGACTTGTTCAACAACTAGTTGAGTAGGTTCAGAGGTCGCTGGGTATTCCACAGGCACAGGAAGAAACTACATAGGGTGCAAAGGTTTGTTACTAGGATTAAGGGAGGGGGATGGAGGTGCCCCATTATCAAAATTAACCTGAGTTGAATGTGTCTGATCGTCCACTTCTTCTAACAATTGAATAGCAGTACCAGATGTGGGTTGTTGGGCCATTGTACCCATAACCTCTTGAGGTTCAACATTAGTTGGAAGGTGGTCTTCTGTATTAGCTTGTTGTTGAGCGGCTTCAGTATAAATAACCTGAGCTGCTGCAGATGAATCATAACATGCCTTACATCAAAGTCACCAACTTTCCAAGCTCCCACTAGTTTAAGGTCTTCAAAGCATTTCCTGATGCGCTCCAATTTAGGATGACCAAGTAGAAATTTACCCACAAGGGTAAACTTAAAGGGTTCTACCAACAAGGAGGTTTCAACTTCAGTGATAAATAATGTGTGTTTTCCCCCTTTTTTCCCACCCTTCTTGATAAAACAGCAGTCGCCATCACCATCCAAAGTATCATGGTAAAATTGTGGGAAAACCAGTTTGTCAGAGTTAAGAGAATAATTCAATTGACCAAGCATCTGGGCATAAGAAACCTTCTTTTGAGCATTAAAGCCGGTAGCCTTCGAATTACTAGCAACATTAGGAGGTAGCTCAGGGGCAGGAGCATCCATTAAGACCAAAAAAACAGTGAAAACAGCTCGAAACTACCACAAAACCACCAACAATAAAGGAAACTCGAAGAAGGACGCAGTAAGACCACAAAAAGCGGTGTTATGGAACAGTGGAGAACCGTCCACAAAACACCACCAAAACAACCGAGGAAGGGAGCCAAGGAAACATGAGCAAAAGGCGGGATAGCGCCCTCAATAACACCACCAAAATCACTAATCGCCCGAATATCGCCATTGATACCACTTGTCGCCTCCATCTTTTTGTTAGTTAATATATATATATATATATATTGTTGTTTGCTTTGTGTTAAGAAGAGAACAAATGTCTGATAGAACACTTGTTAAGATTGCTAGCTAAAGTGTTATAAGAACTTCAGTTGTTTGTTTCAAACTATTGTGTACTCAGATAAGTAAAACGAATAAAAGAATGTTGCATAAAATTCATGTAAATTTAATTTAACGTACTAACTACTTGATAGCATATAAATTAAAAAAAAAAAAAAAAAGGTGATGCACTTTTTTGGGATTTCGTAAAGCTTATTATTTTCTCATGTATTACTAAAGAGCCTAAAAAATTATTATGATGCCTAGAATAACACATTCACAAAAAACAAAGCATTACCAAACAAAGCCTTAGTTTTGGTAGTTTGGGTACCAGCTAAAAATATTTATTAGACAAATTGCTTCAGGATCTATCACAACTCTACAAACCTTACAAGATATATCTTATGACATGAAGTTTTACCTCTAAGCAATTCTTAAAATAAGAATTCAATTTTTTAGATTAACAAGTAGCATGTTTTATAATTCATTTCATTTTTCTGTTTTAAAAAAATTTATTATAACTCTTCACAATATAGTTTCTCAAATAATTTTTTTTTTCATTTCTTCATCATAATCGTGAATAAACATCCTACAATTTCACTCTTGCACCTAACTCAAAGTCTATTAGATCTCCTACTCCTAACTTATTTTACACAGGTCGTTTTCTCACTACTTAACATCAAGACTACATACAAAACTGTAGTATAGCTTTGCATTGATTAGCATCCTCTAAGCAAAATTGTCATCTTAAATCCAATCTCGAGATCCGTGCTTTAATACAATCGCAAAATACAAAACTATAGGCTTGAAACTGACAGAGATCCATGCTAAAGCACTTACCCCATAAGGTCGAGGGTAGAAATGTATATATAACTAAGCCCAAAAAATATCTTTTGAAGCTCGCTTAGGGATAAATCGTTATCAAATAATACAGATCGCCACTTCGGCTTAGACATGTGATAATATTCTTCGGCAATAAAATAAACGGGCAATTACATACACAGCACCTGAAACACTGCTATTTACAAATCAAGCAGCCACTTTCATCCATTTTTCAAATTTTCACTCAAATATCAAAATTCAGGATAAAACCCCAGCCCATTTTTTTCGTTCTAATCAAATTCTCGATGGTTTGATCGTGACATGCATAATAGTTCAAAATATCATTTGGGTACTAGATTTGTAAATATCAACGTGTCGGTGCTCTGTTTTTAATTATTACTACAATAAAAAGACCGTGTTCCAACAAGAAAATACACTTTGGCAATAAAACAAGAAAACTAAGTTCAAATAAGGTCATATTCTTTGGCAATAAAACAGGAAAGCTAAGTTCCAAACACCACTTCAAAAGTTTAATGATTAGTTATTTTAGTAAAAAATGGCTAATGGTGAGAAGTTTCAGCAAATTCTTCAAATAATCTTGAGTTGACTTCAACAATAGTCTGAAACACACTCACAATTAAAATTTCATCCTAAATTACTTTGTAAGGAGCCATTGGGATGAAAGGTTAATTTTCCAAAAACATATTAGCAAGGCAAAAATCAATTTCCCATTCAGAGATGATGAATCCATGAATTTTTAACATACTCTTCCAAAACCATAAGGGTTCGCATGGTACAGCTTTAGCTTTTGTAAAAATAGTTATAAAGCTGTTGTAGAAAATGCAATTTTTTGAGAAACTATTGCGAGTATTTTAAATATTTAGTTTTTTGAAAAAATCTTAAGCAACTTTCTAACAATTATGACACACTAGCAAATTTAATTGTAAAATGCAGCTTCACCGGAAGATATTTGAAAAGCAGTTTAGTACCCAAAGTAGCAATTGTCTAGCAAGCAAAATGGTAAAAAGAACCTATTCCAAATAGGTCCCAAATCTTATTAAATGATGTTTCAAATAAAAAAGGTAGACATTTTCACTTAATATGTCCAACAAATCATGTTTAATCCATCAATCTATCCTAAAAATGTTTAACTTTGAAGAAGGCTATCTAGACGAAAAGTCAATCACTGATAATGATTATTCCGACACTAAATATTAAGTATCTCATTCTTAGAAAAGGATACAGGCATGCAACAAAATTAATATAAAACCTAATTCAAACACTATACATTATTTAAATAAAAATGATATCATATAACAAGTATCCATAATCCCACACTAATGAAAATTGCATTCATTGCAGCAGGGTTAAATAAGCTTCAAAACCTGCTAACACTAACTAAGCCTTCTAATAAAACATCATAATGGGGTTAAATTTTTACTCCTACCTCCATACAATTGCTATGCATTACTACCTAGAATATGAACCCCACAAAACAATGGAAAAAAATTGAAGAGGATAAATTGCTCCCATCCGATTCATTAAAATTGTAGGAAAAGTGACATCTAAGAATTAGCCTTTTAAATCCTTAGAGAACATTGACTTAAAATAGTTACCCTGTTGCAACACACATGGGTATCCGGTTCACATGCAGATGGCTGACCAAGCGCTTCACTCCTACACGAACAAGGGTTTAATATCAGAATACAAATTGATTCGAAATAAATAAAATTTTTCAAAGCACACTGCTATAGAGAACAACGTAGGGGATTTTCCCCTTCATCATGCAAAGCAGGAAGTAAAGTGCAATTTCAACTTAACCAAAGCAGATTGTGCTGTGCATATATCAATTATTCTCGACACAAAGTTTGAACAAATCTATTCCAATATCACCCAAGATTATTAAGCCGAAATAAGAATATTAATGACATAATTAGTGCATCAATTCTACTGATATGTTATATCACTTAAAAGTTTGAGCTTAGCAAAGAAAGGGTAATCCCTCCAAAAAGCAAACGCAAAAAATAAGAAAATTATACAAGTAGCAAAGCAATGTCAACGAGAAATATAAAATTCGAAGTGCATTCCAATACTTTTTTAAAACTCGTGGTGCTTAAAGATTTTTATATTGAAAATATGTAGAAACAAATAGATATGAATAATAAATCAATAATATAAACGATATATGTTCCACACAAGACAAGTTGTGCAGAACGAAAATCATATGAATCAAACAATAAAAATTAAGTGGCAACTCAACTACAAAAGACAGGTTATATGACTAAAGGGCACACTGGAAATCCACCACCTCAGGCTAAATTTTTAAATGACATTTTTTTTTTTAGAATTGAAATTAAAAATAAATAAATAAATAAACAAAGTCCCCACATCAACGGCAAAAACGCGTTGCGTGGCGCCCTTTTTTATTTTTTTATTTTATTTTAAAAACATGTTTGTTTAGTGCATTTTTTTTTATTTTTTTATTTTTTATTTAAAGAAATTATCTTGTTTTTAAAACGCTCGGAACATTTAAAAATTTTGTGTGTTTTTAAAAATAACTAAACATGTTTGTTTAGTGAATTTTTTGAATTTTTTTTTATTTAAAGAAACTATCTTATTTTTAAAATACTCGGAACATTTAAAAAATTTTTGTATGTTTTTTAAAATAACTAAACTGGTTATAACATGCCAAACATGATTATTTCAAGTAAAAACATATACAAAGCCAATAAAATAAAATAAAAAATCAAAAGCAATCCCAAACGGCCCCTAAGCATCATTTCAATTCACCAGCATTTGACGTCCCTTCATTTTGAAGTGTGTGTTCCCCTACTTTTAACAAAATTAAACCTTTTTTTTTTTTGTATAAGACCAAATAAAAATAAAAAACATATACAAAAACAAAAAAAATAATAATAATAAAAATCAAATGCAATCCCAAACGGCCCTGAGCATCATTTCAATTCACAAGCATTTCACGTCGTTGCAGTTTTGAAGTGCATGTTCCCCTACGTTTAACAAAATTAAACTTTTTTTTTTCGTATAAGAAATATTATTTAAAAAACAAAAAGTGAATTAAAAAACAAATATATGTTAAATAATCTTTTATCTTATGCATACAACTTCTTCCTCATAAAATTTTGTAGTTTTTAGCAGTTTTAATGATCCTTATTTAACACCAAGGATCAAATAAAAAAAATTTCCATTGATAACTTAATTTCCCTGATTTGCTCATACAAGCTTGGCCCATTCATATGTTGAATGTTGATGATTTATTCAATAAATTGGTAAAAAAAAATCTATAGTCAAAATTGGCTAATTTAACAAATTATTACCCAATCTAAAATTTGTCACAAGAATTATTTATATGATTAAGGGTGTCAATAATTGACCTAATACTCCAACTTGAACAAGACTCAAGAAAAATCTAAGTTCAAGTTGACCTGATTAATTTTAAGGTAAGGCTTGAGTCAAGAATCCTAAAATATTTAATTTTTGAGTCGTGTTCATGTTGGTCCGCCAATCAGAAATTCATTCGAGTTTGACCGAGTAACCAAAATTGATCTGACAACTCAAATTTGACTCAAAATTGACCCAAAATAAAATTGAGTTTTACGTAAATAATTGCTATATACATGTTAAATAGGTTGTGCATATCGATTTTGGGTCAATTGAGTTGAAAACAGGTCGAGTTTGAGTAAGATTTGTATGTTTGTTTAATATTCGAGTAAAACAGTTTTTGGGCCTGGTCAATTTGGGTTAGATCTGAAACTGACCCGCAAACACGATTTGACACCCCTATCTATAATGATATTTTTGGTGTCTGAATCTGGCTAAAATATACATGTTGAAGGATCTAAAGTTTCTACGTCCCGATATTATATGATCATGTAAAAAGTAAAAGCAATTGATCAAAAGGGGGACAAAAGATTAGTTGATGGATTAAGCTTTGATCTAACTAAAAAATTGTAGAACAGGAAGACATACTGATCTAAACCTAATGAAAGCAAATCCAACGCATACCTTCAACAAGGTAGATTTAAGATGTACATGAGAAGAAATATCAAAATTAGCATCAAATAATAGAAAGAGCAAGTAATATAAGATTGAAACAACTTTAACTGTATCTGGGGTTCACATTTTTACAGAAGCTCACACAAGCACGATGGTTTCTTTCTTATTTATTTTAGATCATTTTTTATCTCCTCCATGGCACCTTTCAAATGTCAAGTAAGTGCAATTACATATATATATCAAAGAATGTCTACTTAATAATCACATTACACATTAGCTGCTTGAATATCAATCCTACTAATAAGAGTGATCAATATGATTTCTCAATGATGTGGGGGACTTGACCCTTCCGATTAGTCAATTAATATAATATTGTGTTTATACCGCAATTTTGTACTAATTCATAGCACAAATGATGTGCCATCACCTCTCTGATGTACACATTCTTTTCTGAGATCAACATCAGAACCAACTTCTAAATTATTTCAACTCCTCATATACTTCTATTAATGTACACAGTAAGAAAATTGAGTAAGTGATTATTGAAAGGCAAAAATCACTACACGTGCTGATAGCATTGCCCTTTCTTTCAACTAATTCTAATTTTCATGTAATACGTAGGCTTCTAGCCTTATAATGAAACTAAACCTAATTGTTGAGCATGACAAGCGATTATTGTCCCTAGTGGGAGAAAGGGGCAACTCCTTGAAAGCGTGAAAAATTGCAGGCACTTAAGAGCATCATTTATATTCAATGAGATGACGGCCAACTGAAAGTAAGCAACATCATCAGTACGATCAGTTTTTTCCCAGTAACAGTCAAGATGAAAAATTTTAACTTTGTCAAATAATTCACTTCTGAGATTTCCTATGAAAATGCATTTTTCAGCTAAGACTTTCGCTTCTCAATTTGCTACAGAGGAAGAGGATGTTTAGTTGATGTCTGGATAGTAAGTTTCATTTATTGCCAAGGTTGAGGCCAGTGCCCCGGCATTGGAAGGTTGTCTCTGAATGATTGAATATTATAGTCCATATGACATCTCTACTCTTAGAGATGTTCTAGTAATATGCTCCAAACCTTCTTAAGTTACTCTAACAATTCTTTTTTTCTATCTCCACTGGATGCTTGCTTGTCACAAAATCTTGATTATCCATGTTTGCTAATTACTTGCTTCCTGTTTTGTTGATACTTGATTTATGTGCTTTGGCATCAATTCATGATTATCTCATGTGGAGAATATGAAATCCACATTTATTCGTGGACAACGCCAAAATCTTGCTAACAAATAACAATACTCGTAAGACAAAAACAAAAATAGAAAGACAAGGAAAAAAATGAAATGCATAGAATCTAGATAGTGAAGCTCTGGGGTTTTATAAAATTTTCAAAAGTACAATAGTTTAACACAAATGACATACATGTACATATAAACAACCGTCATATACATTTAACCTATGCAAGTATAATTTGTAAACAGGTTGCCTTGCATGGTTCAAAATATTTTACGGCCTTACATAATAAAAAAAAGCATCAAAATACAGTTAATTTTCTTGAATAAAACCAAAAAACCATAAGCAACATCAACAACTCACCGGGCAGAATCTGGCAGGTTGGGAATAGCTCCTGAAGCATGCCTTCTCTTTCCTCAAGAAACTCCTCGGGAGTGAGGATGCCTGTGAGACCGCACTCCTCAACGAAGATTCGGGCAGACTCGATTGCCTTCTTGCCCATCAGTTTGGCCTTGAGGGACCAATCAAAAGTCTTGCCAAACCTCTCCAGTATCTTCTCTTGAACGACCGTATAGAATGGCTCCGTGTCTGCAATAATGGTGATCAGAGAACGCTACTGCCACTTGTACCTGATGTAACCAAAGAGAGCGAAAGATTCACCGAGTAAGAGCCCGTCCATGTCAAAGATGACGTGGGTAATTTCACGCTTTGCAGAACCTAATGTCTCCTCATCCTTCGCCATTGATGGATCTAAAGAGCACAGAATCTCGTCGTGGAGCAACCTGTGCGACGTACGCGACGCACAAACCAAGACGAAGACCCGGGAGTGACGAAAGTGGGAAAAAATATACTGCTCCGACGGGGAAACTCATGTAGAATTAACTTCCATTGTCCATGAAATCATGCCACAACATAAAACATACTCCTCCGACAGGGGAAACTCATGTAGAATTAACTTACATTGTCCATGAAATCATGCCACAACATAATATTCTTCGTTGTGTTATTCATGTGTTATTGAGTGTTATTCATGTGTTATTGAGTGTTATTAGTGTGTTATTAATGTGTTATTGTGTTATTATAACACCAATAATATTCTCAGGACACAATCACACATGAATAACACACAATGACATCTGAATAACACGGGGAATATTCTTGATAGAGAAAAAAACTGCACAGTAATACGGAAGAATATTCTCCCCCCGTGTTATTCATGTGTTATTGTGTGTTATTCATATGTTATTCATGTGTTATTCATGTGTTATTGTGTTATTATAACACCAAGAATATTCTCATGACACAATAACACATGAATAACACACAATAGCACATGAATAACACGGGGGGAATATTCCCCGTGTTACTGCGCAGTTTTTTTTTCTCTATCGCACGTGGTGTCGTGGCTTGATTTCATTGGCTACGCATGTTACTCTACGTGCGTAGTACTGATGTAATATTTGCTCACCATAATGTCACGTGACACCTCCTCATTAGAGTACTGATGTATCAGTACTCCTGAGGTAATATTTTTTTCCGAAAGTGGACGTTGAAACAGGAAAAGCTACTTTCCGAGTCTCAATCCCAATGAAATGAAACCACGTGAAGACGAAAGAAAATAAAAAAAAAATCTTTTTAGTATAATGAAGTATTTCTTTCGTGTTATTTCACATTATTCATATATTATTTTGATATTATTAATATGTTATTCTGTTCTGGGAATATTCTCGGTGCTATATTAATACAATAATATCTGAATAAAGCGGAATAACAAATGAGGAATATTCTCAAGTGTTACCGGGTCGAACTACAGGAAAATGCACGTGTTTCCTTGAAGTCACGTGTCCACATAATAGTATATTTCAAACGTAGTTCTACGTTAGGAGTCCTGATGTAATATTTTTTCGTTGAAATGTGGACAATCAAGCAACTCGGGAGACCGTGAATTTAGGAGACTAATTTCTAGGGCATAGTTTTACTCTCCTCCCATCTTAAGAGTAATTGTCAGTTAATCATGGAAAATCATAATATAGAGATCAATTCAAGGGAGTTAATCATGGAAAAAGAAGATTCTAGAAAATATCATAATATAGAGATCAATTCAAGGGACTCCAGAAGACTAGAAGATTTGACGTAATTTTAGAAAAAATCATAAAGAATAAGAATATTCCATGGAATTCTAGAAAGCTATACATAATTTCAGAAAAATGTCTAGAGAAACAAGTTCGAGAGAACTCTAGAATATTATGAAAAGTTTTAGAAGCTTGTATATGCAAGGAACAATGTAGAACTATATTGAAGATGTATATTATAATGTAATCTAGAAAGTTCTCTTGGGTTTGATGAGGGTTATAAATATCAGCAACTTGCCTTCATTTGCATCCATCTAAGAACCATCGAAGGTTCCCAAGCATTCAAGTGTTGTAGTCTCTTTTTCTTAGTGAAGTGTTTCTTTTTCAATGATTTTCCTTACTCTTTTTCTAAGAGTATTTTGTGCTTATAAGTCCATGCATTGTGAATGTTAGACTGATTTAGTGTCTTGAAAGTGCACTGAAGCCGCACGGGTGACTTGAGATTAGTTAGTCCGTGACAGTTGGTATCAGAGTCTCAATTTGAAGGTGTGGCAAAGAGAGTCAGAGAGCACGTCACAGAGTTTGAAGGCACTAATGCGAAATTAACTTAGCAAGGGTGAGGTCGTTAAGAGCAACGAGATCCAATTACATCTAAACCACATGGGAGATTCAAGGAAATCATGCACGGCTTTGATTCGCGCCTTGCTCAGTTAGAGTTGGTGGTAAATGACGCGGAGGTCCAGATAGAGAATATTGGTCAAAAGGTTGATGGAATTTAGGAGGAGGACATCACAATCCATTCAATGATGAGATGTATGATGCTCAAACTGGAGGAGACTTTAAGAGACTAAATGTCTAAGTGGCCAAGATGCAGAGGGACTTGATGGGGGTGCTATGGGAGATACAAAGAGCCCATGAAAACGAGATGAGCGGTGTACGTGATTGCTTGGGAGAATAGGCATGGAGACATTTCGCTATACAAGAGGGAACTAGTGATTCCCACTAACCATCATACATTCGAAGTCAAACGTATTGAAGTGCCAAAACCAATGAGTTTTGGAGGAGCTCACAACGCGAAGGAAGTGGAAAACTCTTATGGGAACTTCAGCAATACTTTGAAGAGATGGAGATTACAGGCAAAGATGCAAGGATTCAATTTGCAACAGTTTATATCTTAGGCATCACCATACTGTGGTGGAGAAGAAGAATTGGATATATCGAGAAAAAAATGGGCACCATATCCACATTTGATGACTTTAAAAGGAAGTTAAAGAGGCAATTCTACCATGCGAACGCGGAGGATGAGGCTAGAGCCCGATTGTGGAGGCTCGAAGAATATGGATCGATTTGGGAATATATTAGAGAGTTCACAAGCTTGGTTCTTAAAATTCCCGACATATTTGATGAGGATGCTCCTTTTCAACTTCATGGATGGACTTCAATAGTGGGCAGAGACTGAGTTTAGGGGGCACATAGTGCAAGATTTTGCCACTGCCATCGCGAACACCAAAAGCCTAATTGATTACTCAAGAGAGTCCACAAAGCCTAAAGATAAGAAAAATACCCATGTCAAAGGTGGAGAAGACGAGGATTAACACAAGGAAGAGACCCGCCATGAATCGACTTCATCCAAGGCAAAAGACAAATGGAAATATAATAACAACTAAACTAAACCACACAACAACTGTTTTCTTTGTGGATGACCTCATTGGACAAGAGATTGCCCTCAAAAGAAGACTCTAAACTCTCTTCTTGCAAGCCAATAGGAAGAAGAAGGCGGTGATAAGGCAGCATAAGTAGGGTTTATACATCTGCTAAATGGGATGCAAGCTGCAGTAAAAACCCAAGAAAAGAGGCCACTCTTTGTGGAGATGGTAATAAAAAGGAATGTCACTCAAGCAATGGTGAACACAGGTGCTTCTCATAGCTTCATCTCTGTCGAATAACCAAAAATGTTGAGTTTGTGAATGACTAAAGGAGGAGGCTCCATCATGGTAGTCAATTCAACAAGAAGGTCAAACCATGGAATAGTTATAGGAGTAAGGACTAGTATTGAAACAACACTTATAGAGGCATTTTATTAGCAATTTATGAATTGCATCGTCTAATGAAGTCTCGGTAGCCCTAAAGTAAAATGAAAGAAACTATAGTTCTTATGACCTTAAACAGGTGGAGCTCAAAGAGATGGGGCTTGCGCTTGCTAAGAAAAATGGTAGATTTGCTGCTCAAAAGAAGATAAAATGAGCTTCGTCTGTAAAACTGGAAACACTTTGTACAAAAGGACTCATATATTGTTTGGGTCGGGAATCCCTCTAACACAGTCGTGCTGGACAGCCTCTTAAATCAAAATTTAAGTTTGGCCATGTCAGGTACAGAGAAACACAGGGACTTCTCCTCAGGTATACGCATATGATGTGCTTGTATCACAATCCTATGGTGTGAAGATCATATTAATTATGACGGGGGATATGTCCATGCATGTAACCCATTTTAAAATCAACATGAAGGCCATGTTAGAAAAGTAAAGTGCAGGTTTTGAAATATCCATAATAATTTAACCCTTAATTTTTAATTAATCTTATTTTTTATTATTAAGATTTTGTATAAAGTTTAGAATTTTAGGGTCCTTAATGAGCTTAGATTATTTTGGCGATCAATCTTAAACAAATAGCAAACAGGAAGAAACACGAAAATAAAGCAATCACAAAACAGTAGTGAAGGCAAACCAAGCAAAATAGAAGAATAGACTGGTGTTGCTAGGTCGAGAACTCTCCCAGGAAAAACAGTAAAAGCGGTTGGACTCTGGATATACATGTCTGCATTAATTCTATATAAAATTATAAATTCAAAATTAAGGTACGTGACACGAGTTGATGCTCTTGGTCTCTGTTACGTGATTCGGCGCATCTTTCTCCTTGAAACTCATGCATATATTTTATTTATGATACAAACTCGATCTTAGGACTCTATCAAATACATGAGAAAAGAAAATAGAAGGACTGGATCTGCAAAAAATTTTAGCATGGGTTATCTCATGTAATGCATATGAGCCATGCACAACGGGATGAGCTTATAACAACATATGTAGGAAAGAGTAAGTATGAAATCATGACATTGCTCCTCCCTTATTGAACATGTGTGTGTGTGTGTATTTAGACATGACTCCTTGCAAGAAAATCACCTCTAATACACTTGTGCATGCCCACATTTTGTAAACACACAAAAACACAAGCAAAGTGATGTCTGATTAGGGCAACCAAACCAACAAAGAACAAAAACCAGACATTGAAAAAGACTATCTAGGGCCTTAATCTTAGCTTAGCACACCATCTAACAAAAATGTTCTAACCAACATCTAAATGTTCAAGGTAAAGTCTGCGGGTATGTATGACTTTGACGGGGTCGCCACACCAGACCATTTTGGAAAATCAAAGGGATCTAAAGAATGTCATCTATGATGAACTTTAGAAAAGATTTGGCCTTACATATGAACTGGCTTGTTAGTTGTATTCTTTTAAAATGTAGGATGTATGATGGATATTAGAAGCAGAAAAAATTTTTGCTTTAAAACATAGCCATTAAATGCAAAATTGCAACATGCAAAGTGACACAAGTTAGATCCCTTGGATCCTCAACAGAGTCGTACTCGTGTTGATCCCAATGTAATAACTCACATTTTCTCATTAAGACCTACCCAACAAATAATGCTCGTTAACAGATCATGACCAACACAGAGTGACTCACCTAACGAGTTTGGCACGCTATCGAAACACACATGCGAATGAAAGTATAAGTGCATGAGTGTGCAACATGTCTGCACTTGTGTTGGTCATTTGCAAGATATTGATCATGCAAATGACAAACACAAGTGCATAAATGTCGCACACTCAATGGGTTCAGATGCTTTGAGGTGTAGCCCTGATTGAATGCACAACATGCAAAGCTTGTGGCAACCAAATGACGATAAAAGAGGTGAAAGGTTTCTCCTCCTTTAGGGGAATCCAAGCACCACATACCAGTGGAAATTAAAATTCCAACCACTTAGGTTTCATCTAATTGTTTTGGAAGGGAAATCTCTCAGATTCATAAGGGATTTGTCAACGAAAGCATCCTAACCTAGAAGACTTTTCTCTGGCACAAACGCCCTAATCCTATTATTCTTTAACACAAATATAGGGTTTAATAGAAAAGAAAGTACAAGAGTTTCACAGGATCTCAACAATACGGAGGTTACGTGCGTGTTCTCTTTGCTCCTACGAAGCCCACTCAGACGTCACTTCAAAGGGATGCAGCTCTCCTCGCTGGAGACAATGTAGTGGTCACCGGAAGCCTTCTCGATCAGAGGGAAGAACTCTCCTCGTCGTAGGAGAGAACGCCGCGTCTACCAGAGATTCCCTTCTCCAAGGAAGGATGATGATCTCCTTCATTATAGGAGAGGATGACTATTTCGTCGGCATATGACTTTCTGCCATGCTAGGATGAGACTTTTCCTATCCTTGACTCCTGAAAAGTTCACCGGCGAAGATGTGACTCATTGGAGGAGATGAAGAATCCATAAGATGAAAAGAAGAAAGAAGTTAAAAAGAGAAAAATCAACTCCTTATCATTTTCTTGAAAAAAATAGTAATCCCTTTTCAAAAACATCCTCACTCAATACACTTTTCTCCAAGCTCCTAAGCGCTCTCTTCCATCCGGACAAAAGTTTCCAAACTCCAGAAAAATGAATCCTTCCTCCCCCTCTAATGAAACCCACCAGGGTTTTTTTCTCGAGCCAACCAGCCTTTTCCTGTTGTCCGTACCAAACTAGACCCCAATATCAGACCAGCATGTCGGTAGAGAGCGCCACTGTTAAGTATGGATGCTTCAAGCCGAGCGCTTTGGAGGAAGTCATCCCTTATACCTTCCGTTCTCTGCTCTCACTGTAGCCGCCTGGGTTCCCTCTGTTGGATCACCAAACGAACGGCTCGGATGGCTTCTCTTTCGTCCAGCGCCGCTCCGTCCGCCACCGCATCCTCCTCCGCCGGCACCGATGCAGCCGCTTCCGCTTCCTCTGCTATCGACTTCCTATCGCTTTGCCACCGCCTGAAGGTATCATCCTCGAGCACTCTCTTTCTCACACATTTACCTGCTCACTCAATCTGATTGCAGACGACAAAGAGGGCCGGGTGGGTGAAGAAGGGAGTTCGTGAGCCGGAGTCAGTGGCGGACCACATGTACAGAATGAGCGTGATGGCTTTAGTAGCCGAATATAACCCCGATGTTGATCGGGAAAGGTGCGACTCTGAATTAGGTTTCCTGTTTCCGTTAAAAGAAAAATCGTTTGCACGAATATAGGAACCGGTTTGGGGATTCGAGCACTCTGTAGTGACATTTTTGTCTTTTTTTCTTCATGTATCTGTAGGTGTGTTAAGATGGCCCTGGTCCATGACATCGCAGAAGGTGAGTTCCTGCTTCTTGATTATTTGCTAGGGGGTGTTCTTTGTTATTTATGTAATCTCTTTCATGGCAACTTATATTACAGCGCACAGGGGATGATTTTCAGTGATTGTCTATTTGTTTCACTTAAAAAGGGATTTTTGGTTGCATGATTTAGGAAGGCTAAATTTTTCCAATTAATTCTTCAACAACGAGCCTTTATCCCACTAAGTGGGGTGGACTACATTAATCCTTTTTCTTCATTGTATCCTTCTAAGTGTCAAAATTTCATTTAATTCTAATAAACTAAACCATTTTTTATACAACATGCCCATATTTTTTTAGGTCTACCCCTACATTTCTTAACATAAATAAAAGCTAAAATATCCACTATTTTAACCGGATCATCAGATGACTAACATGTAATATGACCAAACCATCTAAGATGACTCGCTTTAATATTGTTTGCCACTGGAGCTACACTGACCCCTTCTTATATACATTCGTTTCCCATTTTATCTCTAAGAGTCAAACCACTCATCCACCTAAGCATTCTCATCTCAACAACACAACTTAGTTCTATGCTTCTCTTTATATGCTAACATTTCGGGCCATAAAGCATTGCAAGTATCCCCACCATCTTAAAATTTTTCTTTAAATCTAAGCGGTACTTTTTCATCACACAATAATCCCGATGCATTCCTCCATTTCAACCATCCAACTTGAATTCTACTAATAATATCACCATCACTCTGAATAATAGACCCGATATATCTAAAATGTTCACTTCTTTTAATGATTTGATCACCCATTGTCACAACTTCGCTACTAGATATATAAATACTAAAATTGCATTCAATGTATTTAGTTTTTGATCCACTCAAATGTAGGCCTTCAGACTCTAATGTAGACCTCCATAATTCAAGTTTATGTTGAACTCTTTCTCTAGTCTTATCCATAAGGATATCATCAATGACAAAAATTCTTGCACATTTTTAAATCACTTTTTCATATGTTTTTATGTTAAATCACACATTTTCTAAATCTCGGTAGAAGTGGGATTTAAGATAATCACACCACTTGCTCCACATTTTGCATCTTTTTATTATAAGTTCGCAAATCTTGAAAAGATCTGCCAAACATTTTACTAGGATTTGATCATATTTAATGTATATCATTTCAAATTGTTTTGAGGATTTAATGCTCCACGAAGCTACTGTATATGAATTTACAAGATTTACCAATTTGCACTTGAATAAAATTATATTTGTAGCCAAGCAAATCCTAAGTGTTTGGAATGACATTACAAAATTTTTTATTTTATTTTATTTTATTTTTGGCAATGAATGAATGAAATTGAAATCCTTTTTTTTTTTGCTCATTTTTTTAGAACTGAAGTGATCTCCCAAGCTGTAAGTTCATGCAAAACAAATAAATATATAAATAAAACTCACTACAAGGAAATTCATTTCTTGAACAAAACAACTATATTCAAATATTCATGAAAAAACAAACTCATGTAGCACTTTCTGAGAGAATCATCATTTTTTGACTTGAGTTCCATGATTTGTTTAATGATTTGAAATTGGGTGATGACATGTGTGGCTATAAATTAATTAGCTTTAACCCTGAATTGGTGTACAATCTGATGCTCTTTCATCTGAGTGAATAATCCATAAAGCTTATTCTCTGTCATGTTATGTGTAATTAGGTTCGTGAAATTTGCACCTTGCTAGTTCTTGTTCAAAATGCTTGCTATTTTCTCACAAGTTTTACTCTTAACAAATTATATTTTTCACAACTCGGGCAGATGATTGTTATAAAAGATTAACATCGTTTAGGTGTTTGCATTAAAGTATTAGGTGAATTACAAAGCCACATAGAATTATTAGGTTTTCTGGTTTTCTTGAATATAAATATTGAGATTTTCTCGGGGGCATCCAACCTAACATTTTTCATAAGCTCTTTACTTCTTTTGTATTTACAATTTTTAGCCTCAATTCGGCTCAATTCCCTATATGAATTTGTGCTTCTTCAGCTATTGTTGGTGATATAACCCCATCAGATGGTGTTCCAAAAGATGAGAAGAGTCGTAGGGAGAGAGAAGCAATTAATCATATGTGCAAATTACTTGGCGGAGGATCTAGAGGTATGTTATTATATAAATTTTAATTTTAGATTTTCTACTGTTTCATAGTTTTAATTTGAGAAAAGGGTGGCTATGAGCTGCCTTTTTAGTTAGGATTTGGTGAAGAGTCTGATGCAGTATAGGTGCTTAAAACGGATTCTTTTTGTAAATATTGGAAATTTGGTTTGCATAGAGCAATGTGGTTCATGGACATTGTCTAGTTAATACTTAATACTGACATTAGTCATACATCATATTTCTTCTGTCCTTGCATTCTGCAATTGGCCCTTAAGAATTTTATATCCTACAGCTGCCAGGCTAAAAGCCAAATTGAGCTTTTATGCATTTTATTGAAGTGAATTTAAAACTTGTTAGTGCAAAATGAGATTTTTCCTGGTCTGAAAAATTTGACCATTCTATTTGAAACTTGTACTTAGTTTTCATAGAAAATCTATCTCTTGGCTTAATTTTCAAGGATATAGCTATCCTGGTTGATACAGTGAGGGATGGAAATCACGGGTACTTGATTTTAGATGGAATTGCGATGACTCTAGAAGACAGAGGAAGGAATATTAAGATAAGGAAAGGATTAGGAGGGCGTAAAAGAGATGGTGGGATAAATAGAGAAGAAATCAAGAAGGTGAAGGGGAAAGGAGGAGGATGGGTCATACAAGGGAGGGAACTTGGAAGTCAAGGGATCAACAGTGTGCTTTGTGTGGGGCAAAGAGAGAGTTTTGAAGATTTGTGAGAGATTTCCGAGGACAGAGAGATAGATAGAGAGAGAGAGAGTTGGTGTGGAGAAAATAAGAAGGCTTATGTAAGTGAGTGAAGCAATGGAGAAGATCTCGCCTAGAGATGATAATGGGAGAAAATTTAATAACTTTTTGTTCCCATATCTAACTAGGAAAAGTCACTTGGGAACTGATACATGATCCTAAATAAATAAATTCAAATCTGTATACATATATAAAAAAAAAAAACTAAAATGCATCATTAAAATATCCTCTAAGCACTTCAATTGATAGAGTTAAAAGAACAACAATCAATTATGTTGTTGATGGTTCACGTCTTAATAAAATATTTTTCATCAAATTTATTAGCGTACGAGCAACCATCCTGTTGCGTCTTTTATTGAAGATATTCATTTAGAAGACAAGATGAATACTACTTAAGTTTATCTCGCTTGACTAAAAAGATTCATTTAGTGGCGGACGATGTTGTGTAATGATGGTGCTCATTTAAAGGACCCATTGTAATCTTAAAAAATAAAGGCTCAACATACTATATTGCTAAGAATGATGGAAAGACTTGAGTTGCTGCTGCTGATTGAGATAGAACAACTGCTTTTTTACAAAGATACTTGTAGGTAACTTAAGTGATTAAAAAATGTCCCTATATAAATAGCAAATAATCAACAATAAAAGTTGGACTACTGTTGATGTAACAAATAAATAACTTTTCATATTGTTCCAAGTTCCTTGGTATTTATATGGTTCGTAGGCATAAGCTACAACATTTGGTCATATGTCATAGATAATGTTTAGGAAGAATTTTCGTTAATGCATTATCACCATAATTATATTTTCAATAATCTATATAAATGTTGTTAATAGAATTATAATCATTATTCATAGAAATTTTATTTTTGATTTCGATGTAATCATCATTTTTTGACTTG